ACATACATACATACATACATACATACATACATACATACATACATACATGTAAATCAAACATGTTTTCATTTGGCCCCAGGATCCTCTTCACATCAAGAGAAAGAAAAAGCAGACATATTGGGAACAACTGGGGCACATTTGTTGGGATTTCACAGGATTCCGAGATCGTTCTTGCCAGAACCTGAGGATACTTCGACTTCTACCCAGCCTGTTGCTCGTATTCCAAGTGCCCGATTCATTTTACCTGATGCAGGTGATGCTCTGGGGCCTTCAGAAACCCTCTTGTCCGAAGCCCTCACACCAGACAAACCTCCAGCTGAAAAGATTATTTTGCCAACCTTCTTAAAGCACCGAGATATTCCGGGAGAGAATAGGATAAACACTGTTCCTAACCAGAGCCGCCGTCTTCCTTTGGATTCGACTTCTTCCTCACCGCCTCCCGTAACGGCTCAGATCAAGGGCATCCAGGAGTCCTCCTCGGCATCGAAAACAGGACGGGAGGTTTTGCCCAATTGTTCTGATATCGTAGAGTTAAGAGACCACCTGCTGGCTTCCTCCGAGAGCATAGAAGTTCAGCAGGAGCACTTGAAAGAACTGCAGGAACGACTGGACGAGGAGCGGGAAGCCCTCCTGTTTCGCCAGAAAATACAGGAGGACGTGCTGCTCCAGAGGCATGCCCAGCTGAAGCAAAAAATGGAGCAACAGCAAGAAGCATTAAAAGACATTATTAAACGGGTAAGTTTTTTAGTAGAATGAAAAAGCAACATTCAGCTGTCTCGTCAGGGTAATTCTGAAAGAAACTCTCCTTTCTAAGTTGTCTTTCCATCGTCAGTTGACATGTAAAACTCTCATTTGCTTGTAATAGGTGCTCCATAGTTGCTCAGTTAAAAAACTGACCTCAGTTAGCCACAGTGCTCTGCAATTTCTGGATATTTTGAAAAAGGGAATATTCCATTTTCCTCGGTCTTCCAGTGAAAGTTTTGGAAGCAATTATCAATCATGACCACTGCATTTTGGAAAAATTTGGTTCTGCCTCTAGTGAAGTGATGGCTAACCTTTTTGTCATGTGCCAAAAGCACTGTGCATAATACGCCCCCCCCATGCACGCATGACACCCCGCGCATGTTCGTGCGACCCAGGCTCCCCCACCCCCCTGCAC